AAAAAAAAAAACACCGCACATGTGACAAGCATTAAAAAAGAAATGAAAAAATATAATAAAAAACAACCAATCTGTCCAGCCCGAAAAAAAACCAGCAAAATACCATAAGTGCAACTACAAATACTAGAAATCCAAACAAAACATAAGTTAAATCTACCAAAACACAAGTTCGATGTTTTTCCACATCCCCATCACTTCAATCAGAAAATCAAATGATTAATAATTAAAAAAAGTCTATGATTTTTCTCTCAAATTCAAAAGACTAATCCTAACTTCATCCGGTGCACTACCAGGGGATTCATCATCACTAGCATATCCATTATCTTGTTTCATTTTGCCATGGTCGTAGAGCAAATATGCGTATCTCTCCCTAAAAGAAGTGACATCAAACTTCTCCTTGTTGATCTCATGACCCGAAATGAAATGTTCAGCAAAAGATGCAACATATACCCCACAATCACTGTCAAAAAAAATAAAAAATACAAACAGAAAGAATTTAATAATAATAATAATAAAAATAATAATAATAATAGTAATAATAATAATAATAATAATAATAATAGTGAGTATATAGTAAAGCATGTTAATGGCAATTAAAAAAATTACAAACTCCTATAAGATTTACGACAGCCGAGTTGTTGTACTACGACTGATATGAGTTGCATTACCAGGAAATTAATATCATATTAAAACTGCTAGATAGAATAAGGTGACTTTCTGTCATCACTAGATATATACTCTCTACTAATTTTCTTATTTTATGTCGTAATTAATGTCAATGTCAGTCTCAATGATTTATATCTAATATGTACCTTCTTCAATAAGGCAACTTTTGTCACTAGTTTTGCTTATATGAATCTTTTCAATGTCATCAACAATTGACTCGGTGACCCAACGGTTGAACCGGTTACCGATGACCCAGAGACTTGCTCGGGTCGATTACCGGGCGGGTTTAAAAACTATGGTGTATATACATATCATATATTTGTACCTAAAATATCGAGATCTATCATATTCCTAACAAACATTATATTTACTTATATATTTTTAAATTAATCACATCAATAAATAATATTAATAAACATTAAATATTCACCATTATATAAAAAAAATATTACTTCTATAAATGTTATAAATAATATTGACATTATACGATAATAAATTTTTTAATAAAGTAATATATGAGTATTATGATGAACCAAAATATGTAAATATCATGTGCGTCAATGACTTTTTATAACTAGCCTTCGGGTGGAATAAAATTAGCAGTTGAAGGAGCCGCATCAAAATAAAAGGCTATCTTTTGTATTAAAAAATAAATATATATGTTAAAATGTTATTTATATTAATATAGACGAATCAACGGGCTAATACATTATTAAAATAAAATTTTGTAAAAATATTTTACATTACCAATCCCCGTACATCGCACGGGATTCTCACTAGTTTATAAGAATGAAAAAGGGAATAGGA